AGGAGGAGGAAGAGGAGGAGGAGGAACAGGAGCAGGAGCAGGAACAAGGTGGAGGCGGAGGAGGGCGAGGAGGAGGATGAGGAGGAGGATATTTTGGAGGAGCAGAAGGGGGAGGATCATGATCTACGCGGGGTGTGCGCACAGCTGTCATGCTGGTCACCTATTTTGGGGATGGGTGGGTAACAGGGGTGAGGCTGGAGACGGGGAGCGGAGGCTGGAGACGAAGAACGCGATGATGATGATACTGACTATGATGATGGTACGGGTGATGACCATGGCGGACACGATGATGTTGGCGATGATGGTGGCGATGATGATGCTGATGCTGATGATGCTGATGATGCTGATGGTGATGGTTGCGTGGATGATGGTGATGGTGTTGGTGATGCTGATGGGGATTGTGGTAACGATGGTGTGAATTATGTTGATGGTGCAGATGCAGATGATGCTGCTGATGATGATGATGATACTGATGCTGATGAAGCTGATGATGTTGATGATGCTGGTACTGATGATGCTGACGATGCACATGATGATGGTGCTGCTGATGATGCTGCTCGTGATGATGATTCGCATGATGCTGCTGGTGATGATTATTATGATGATGATGATGCTGTTCATGCTGATGATGGTGACGATGCTGATAGTGCTGGTGATGCTGATGATGATGTAGCTGATGCTGATGATGCTGATGATGATGACGGTGATGTTGACGATGCTGATTCAGCTGATCAAGCTGAGGATGCTCATGCTGGCGTGAGGCTGCTGATGTTGTGTTGATGATGGCGATAATGATGCTGATGAAGATGATGCTGATGGTGATTGCGCTGTTGATGCCGATAAGGTTCATGGCAATGCTGATTATAACCTTTTTGGTGAAGCAGCTGCATATTACGATTATGTTGATGATGATCATGGTGATGACGATGATACTGAGGCTACTGCTGATGATGCTGCTGATGATGATGCAGTTGATGCTGATGATGCTGATGATGATTATGATAACGAAGATGATGATGTTGATTATGATGATGGTGCTGCTGCTGATGATTATCATGATGACGATCATGAGGATGATGAATCGGCTGATTATGATGATAACGAGGATGATGAGGATAATGATGATGATGCTGGGGATGATGCTGATGATGATGAGGTGGTTGTGGTGGTGGTGATGGTGGTGATGGCGTTTGTAATGGTGCTAACTCGGCGATGCGTCATTATTCACCATTTGATGTGCCGCCTTCCCGACCCGACCCGCCCGCCAGGGTCCGCCCGCCCGATCCGACCCGCGACTGGGGTCCGCTCGCCCGACCCGACCCGCCCGTTATGGCGCTGGCGAGCCAATTCGATTCAGTCGGCTAGTCAGTCAGCCAGACAGTCAGTCAGTCATCCGCCCCGCCAGCGAGTCAGGCGTGAGCCGGAGGAGCGGCGCTCGGCGCTCGCTCTCCCTCTCCCGCCAGCCGCCAGGTCGTGAAGTTCAACACAACCAGCGGCAAGGACGGCGCGAAGGTCAAGGTCGAGCTGAGGAGGTGCACCATGATCGAGCGCGGCAAGAACGGCGAGAAGAAGAAGGTGGGGGTGGTCAAGGTGTACAAGAACGGCGCGCCGGCTGCCCGCGGCAGCAGGACGGCCCAAGGCGGCCCAAGAACGTCCCGATATATCCAGAGGAAAGCTCCAGGACGGCCCTAGGGCCCCGGGTGGCCACAATAAGCTGCAAGACAGACCCAAGATGACCCCGCGGAGGCCCCACAGGGCCCCACAACAGCCCCAAGGGGGACGTGAATGATGATAATGATGATGATGGGGAGGAGGAGGAGGAGGAGGAGGAGGAGGATGCTGCTGCTGATGATGATGATGATGCTGATGATGATGATGATGATGATGACGATGATCGTGACGATGATGGTGATGATGATGATGATGATGATGCTGCTGCTGATGATGATGATGATTATGATTATGATAATGATGATGGTGATGATGGTGATGATGATGTTGATGATGATGACTATGACGATGATAATGATGATGATTATGGTGATGATGAGGAGGGTAAGTAGGAGGATGAGGAGGAGGAGGAGGAGGAGGAGGAGGAGGAGGAGGAGGAGGAGGAGGGAGGGTGGAGGAGAGGACGGCGGTAGAGGAGGATGAACATCAGTAGGAACACGAGCAGGGTACGAGGGAGGAGATCGAATGAGCTGGAAGGGCCTCCTCCAGGGAGGCTATCCGTATGTCTTCTCTTGCGTGTTGGTGACTTTTGGCCTGTGGGGGCTGTCCTGGGACCTCTTGGGGGGCAACTTCGGGCTTGGCTCGGGATGGAAGTACCAATGATTAACCGCCCTTGGGAGCCCGTCAGCGTGTCACTCGGCCAGAGATGGGCTCCGTTCCTTAGCTAGCCTGCCTGATAGTCGTAGCTTGGCTGTGCTGGCGCAGTGGCACTACTGATCGTCGAATCGTGTCCCCGCGATCCCCTGGCGGTCTCGCGAGTCTTGAGACTCCCAGCCTTTTTGTGGGCCCCTGCAGCGTGCAGGTCACATTGTTCTGCATCGAGTGCGCATCCTCGTGCTTACCTTCCGCCCTCCCTCCCTCCCTCCCCCTGCTCCTCCTCTTCCTCCACCTCTTCCTCCTGCTACTGCTGATCCTCCTCATTCCCTCCCAGCTTGAGTCAGGTGAGTCTGCGGGCCAGGTCCATTTCGACAGCGAGGACAACCACTGCGTTCAGTTGAAATTGGACGGGGGCAAGACCCAGTTTTTTGAGTCGCAGCACGACGACGACCCCCGCGATTCGCGGGACTTCGAGGCGCACAGCCAGTTGGTGAAGGCGCCGCCCACGGCCACGGCGCCTCAAATGGGCCACCTCCGCTCCGACAATCGCTTTCTCCTTCTCCCCGACTTCCTCCACGTCCTCGTCCTCCCCTTTGGCTTCCTCCACGTTCCCGTCCACGTCCTCCCCCCTTTCCCCCCCCCTCCCTCCTCCCCCTTCTCCTTCTCTCCTCCTTCTCGTGGTCCTTCTCCTCCCTCCCTCCCCTTCCTCGTCCCCTCAGAGACGGCGTGACGGCGAAATCGTGACTGCTGGACTCTCCCCATTTTGGTCAGCTGGAGGCCCGTGTCGGGCCTTGGGACCAAGCTGTTACGCGGGATGTGCATCTGGTCATGCTGATGTGTTCGAGGGTCCGGGGGCGCCTACTGCGTCAAGCATGTTTCGTGTCGTCGGAGGGGAGGCCCTCCTTCCCTCCTCGTCCCTCCATCGCATCCTGGACGGGTTCCAACGATCACGAGCGGACTTGCGTTGTTCGCTGCGCTTTGCAAAGCGAGGCGTGGGATGAGGATGTGGTTAGAGCCCGTTCGGAAAAGCCCCCGGCGATCACGCGCCCCCCCCACCTGTAGTCACGTCGCGGCGGTCGTCCGGTGGCGACCGCGGACGTCCAGGCTATTGCGATGTTCAGAGGCATGTTGCTGTGCTCAGGGGCGCTGTGGCACTCGCCAGGGAAAGCGGCGTTTGCGTGCTTGCCGCGTGGTGCTCTCAGGGACGCAGTTTTGTTCTGTTGCTGAGAGGCATTGGCGCGGCGGTCGGAGCGTGGCGCTCGCAGTTGCCCGTGCAGAGTGGTGTATACGGGCACTGAAAGCGCACACGGCCGTTGTGTAGTTTATGAACGTTGCGGTGTTCATAGTCGGTGTGGCGTGCGCAGGCACTGCGGGCTCAAATGCAAGGGGCCGTGTCCAGGGCAAGAAAATAGGAGGAGGAGGAGGAGGAGGAGGGGGAGGAGGAGGAAGAGGAGCACGACGACGATTCCGATGACGACGATCACGACGACGCTGACGACGACGATGCTGTCGATGACGACGATTCAGATGGTGACTCCGATGTAGAGGATGACAACGGCGATTTTAAGGACGACGAACATGACGATTACAATAACGACTATTTCTTTTACTACTACTACTACTACTACTACTACTACTATTACTACTACTACTACTACTACTACTACTATTTTTCGACGACTAATACTACTACTAAGACGACGACGACTACTACTACTAGACTATTACTACTACTACTACTACTACTACTACTACTACTACTACTACTACTACTACTACTACTATTTTATCGACGACTACTACTACTACTACGACGACGACGACGACTACTACTACTAGACTATTACTACTACTACTACTACTATTACTACTACTACCACCACTACTACTACTACTACTGCTACTACGACTACTACCACTTTTACTGCTACTACTACTATTTCTACTACTACCTACTACCTACTGCCTGCGACCTACGACCTACGACCTACTACCTACTACCGACTACCGACTACCTACTACTACTACTCCTACTACCACTACTACTACTATTACTATTACTACTACTGCTACTACTACTACTACTACTACTACTACTACTTATACTACTTTCACTACTAACACTATTACGACTACGGTTATTACGACCATCGCTACTACGACTACTTCGAATACTACTACTGCTGCTACTACTACGTATACTACTTCTTCTACTACTTCCACTACTACGACTACTAATACTGCTAGTACTACCGCTATTTATCATACTACCGCTATTTTTTCTTATTCCTACTCCTACTATTACTGCCTCTACTACTACTACTACTACTACTACTGCTGCTGCTACGACTACCACGACGACTATTACTACTACTACTACTACTACTACTACTACTACTACTACTACTACTACTACTTTTACTATTGCTACGACTACTACTACTACTACTACTACTTTTTCGACGACGACTACTACTACTATTACTACTACTACTACTACTACTACCACTTCTACTAGTAATATTTCTACTACTACGACTACATTACTACTGCTACTACTACTACTACTACTACTACTACTACTACTTCCGCTACTACCACTACTACTACTACTACTACTACTACTACTACTGCTACTACTACTACTACTACTGAGACTACTACCACTACTA